TATGTCTATGAATGGCTTGTATGCTATTATTTACTGTGCTTCTATGGTCCATCTTTCAAATACATTGCTATCAGCATTTAAAAGAACTTCGCAGCTTATACTGGGTTTATCTATACCCTTCCACACATTAACCATGATTCGTCGATTAATCGATTCTGATGAGATGAAATTTTATGTTTAGTCAAATTACCAGTCAATGAACATGTCCAGAAAGAGCTTTCTCGTAAATTATTAAGCGTAAAAACGACTTTTCTTCACCCACCGCTCCTACATTGATCTGTTTTCGATCAGCTATCGAAGATTAGCTATACATGTATGATGGAAAAACTTCCTTAATCCACGGAACTGAACATGGGTAACATAGTATCCATATAGTCTACAAGCGCTGCAACGCTTGGACGTATACATCCATTCTTCCATTATATATTAAACGTAACAGGGAAGATTCAATATAAATTTGGTCTAAGCAATAACTAACGGACATAGACAGACTATCGTCAGAGACAGTTCTGGTAGCAACTTGCAGTTTCCGAACGGTCTTAGTTACCCTAAGGCGCTAGGTTAAACTGTATCGTAGTGCGCCTCTAACCCTGAGCTACTCGACCCGTCCTCTTTATAGATAGCGATTTAAGCTTTCTGACTAGATATTGAAAGAACCATCACGCAATTATTTTCCATGTAGTACATACGTGTTTTTACGTACATACGTATTTTTACGTATTTGAACTACTGATTATCTTCTACTCAACATGGATCACACAAAAAAGGGAAGCGTTAGACATAATCTGCATTTGAAATATAAAAAACTGTGATATCTTTTCGAATCGAGCAGAAATCAGAGGGGGTTTTGTCGTAATTTTATATGAGCAACTCTTAAGTATGATGTTCGTGAATTCTATTTTACATAAACATAGAAGACAACAGGGAATACGCTGCACGTCTGTGTTGTCATTTCTCGTCATGATTTCTGTATTTATCTTCACTTCCGTGTCTTCATATTTCCCTCCCTCTCCCTCACCCCCCCTCTCTCTCTCTCTCTCTGTCTTTCTATCCTCGCTCTAATTCGTTTTCGCCACAGCTTTTATTATCCTGAATGCTGTCCGTATCCATTACGCCTCGTCCGTGCCACGAGCTGCAATAGCTTTTTCCGATGTCCAGGTGGCTCTTCCCACGGTGCCGTTAACAAATTCCTTTCACTGATTCTTTATCATTTCATTTAGAAAAATCCCCTGGTTAGCTTCACGATAATATCAGCTTCGTTGCAAACGTCATGTACTAACCAATTTTCTATTATTGTTTTCTCTATATTATGTTTTTTTCTTTAAATCGGACTCAGATGATTCTTATAAACCATTCTAATTAACCAACTGAACGGAAAAATGCGTCCATCCAATCTTTTGATGGTCGGACATTTCGTGAGTGGATCGTAATACTAACAGAGTGCATTAGATTTTTTAGGATCCTAGTGAAAAATCCACTCTTTAATTGCAATTTTCCCTGTCCACGATATTTCTTGCACACTACAATGAATTCATACTAGTTCATTCATGCTATGAATAAACAAGGGTGATGACGCGCTTAACGTAGACCAGTTCTTCAGAATGCGCCATTTGAATGCGCTAACATCGTAAAGGTGACTGAATGCTTATTTGACCTGTACAATGACTTGCATGTGCTTAGTTATTCTTACTAGTTATACATAGTTATGTTATAATCATCTATGAAATCAGGGTTTCCATCTTCCCAGAGAAGTATGGTACCAGGTTGTCAATCACGAACATGGTTTGTTTAGTCTTGGGCACGAGATCGATCTAAAGACCACGTATGTAGTCCTGGACGTAATGTCGATCTAAGGAACACATGTGTAGTTCTGCACACGAGATCGATCTGAATGCCATGTGTGTGGTCCTGCACGTGAGACCGATCTAAAGACTACGTGTGTAGTCCTGCACGCGATGTCAATCCGAAAGCTCACAGAAGGCCACATGTATAGTCCTAAAGGCGAAACCGATCTGAAGAACGCATGCGTTGTCCTGCACACTGGACCGATCTATAGACCACGTGTATATTCCTTCACGTGTGACCGATCTGAAGGCTACATATATGTAGGTCCTGCACGCGACACCGATCTAAAGACTGCCTGTATGTGCAGCAGGGCACCTCTAACCTGTGTACTACACCTACTCTATTCATATTATGATTTTTAGAAATCGTTATACAATGTATTAGAACGTTGCTGGTATGTGAAAAATTTAGAAAGTGAACAGAAGACCATCTTTGGTACTTCTTTTTTGATGCTCCCAACTGTTTTTACCATCCTCCTCCCTCTGAGGTACATGACATGGACTGTTTCCACTTGGAAGTAAGAGTGATGGTTTGATGACGTAAGTGATCATGAGTGTGTGGTAGACCGATTACCAGATGTATTGACGTTAATCGCTCTAACTGCGTTTAAATCAAGTGCGCAAACATTTCTCGTGGTTAAGCAACTACTCTTCTCCATTCCTCATCATCATCCGTAGTTGTTCGTCGTCATCCTATCACATGACTGCATGTGTGCAGAGTTCAAGAGACCATTCACTCAGCAAATAGAACGATTTCGTATGAATTTAATGTTGAATGGCATGAAGGGCAGATAGACGAGTCCTGACAGTGTTTCCCACATCCAAATACCCACACACCCACTCAATCACTCATTTAGTCACTCATCCACCCACATCGACATAGCACGCGTTCCATAGTGCTAGTTCATCACACGCCTGAACGTTCCATATAGCTGTGTTCGCTCTTTATCATGCCATGAACATCATCACCATAAAATCGCTATTACTGGCTTTTGATTTCGTTTCATTTCTCTTAGCTTTTACTTCGAAAGAAATGAAAAGAATAAAACAAAGAAGCATGAGTTGTGTACGCACAGAAAGATCGATATGGTCGGCTGTGATCTACGTTGGCAGAGCTGATCGACGGAGACCAGCCGTTCGTTCATCTATGTATCGTTCGTGATTTCGGAGCCACATTCGTATTGATTTTATGCTTCTTCATTTCAGTATATTATTGATCTAAATATATTTCTTAACTTAAGAAGAGAACGTGAGTTAGCCAGTTGTGCTGCTATTTTTAATATCAACGATGCGGTCAACGCTATCCATCTTTTTTCGCGCCGAAGCCTGACTTTTTTCCCTTCTTAAGGAGATTTTCAGATGATTTAATCATCATTGTGTTTACATTTAGGCATATTTAGTCAGGAAATCGTTAACTTCCTATGTTCTACTAAAATTTTTTCTTTTTAATTTTAATTTTAATTTTTAATTTTTTATTTATTTCCGTTTTTTAAAATTTTTTTTATTTTTTTGAAATTTCACTCCCTAAGTTCTACTTCAAATGCCAATGATTTTCAACTTGTTCCTCGTAGGTTTTGTGTAGTTAGTTTTTTTCTTCACATTTTCGGAACGTTTCATTAGTATTCATATGCCATGGCTTTTCTCTCTTTTCTTTTTGTTAACTTTTCAAAAATACGTTATTTTCTTAACATACGGACATAAAAGATAGAGGATAAAGCTCCGGTGTTGACCAATCCCTGGGGGATGCGCCATGCATTCGACTTCATTAAGTATCGTCGGAGGTGATTGAATGCTTATCTGGCCTTTACAATGACTCACGGTGGCGTACCAATGTATCGAGCCAGTGCTGCTATCCCGCCAGACAAATCTGGTACCAATTTGCCGACCCTGGGGGAATGGAAGGCTTGGTGGGCCATGGGCGCGGGAATCGATCCCGTGTACTGCAGAGCGCCTCCCACCACTGCGCCATATGCGTCCCTGCGTACATATTGAGATGGTAGATAACATCTTATCTTAATTTGTATACCAAACATTTAAAAGAATGAAGTTAAGGGAGTGATAAAACACGGCAATAGTAGAAGAAGTATAGGGTTGCGAATAAAGAAATAGATAATAAATGAAGAGAAATAGTAAAGAGTAGAGTAATGTCATATCAATATGGCAATTGGCAAATGCAAGAAATTGTTCTGTTCAATAGAATGACATTAGTGAACACAAAATAAACTTTTGTGAGCAACACTGTGATATTCACCTGCAGAGATCTCTTCTCGTTCTTTTAGTAAGCATATATTAAAGATTCCCTGGTTTCCAGGTTTTGCGGCCCCAGTATAATTTTCATTCTGCGGACATTTGCTGGCTTAGCTATTGTGAGTTCTTGGCGTCCCGACGTCAGCCTTGCCGAAGTCTTCGCCAAGTCGTCAACACTCCAGGAAGTCGCCGGGCGTTTTGGGTGAGAGGAAGATATGCCATCATGCGACTAGTTTGATGCCAGAACGGCCACTATTCCTGCTTTTGGTATTCCTTAACTCTTAGCTAGGCTCTTGGATAGGAACGTCGGACTCCTTCGGGTTAAAAAACATTTTTGACAAGAATTTAATTGTAGAAGAGTGATGACGTAGCTGAAAGATCGTCAACATTATTATTTGAATCATTCAACATTTTCAAAAACAGCGTGCTATAAAACGTGTTGCAACATTCCCCACGAGTTTATAACATGGACATCGTGAAAAAATACGACCCTTTTCAGTATATCCGTGCCAACTGGTACCCTTATTCAACCCTAACTGGTTTTTGCGAGGTAAAATATCTGCCGCTGGTCAACCATATTGAGGTCATTGGCAGAAGTAATAAGTGCGACACCGTTGTTAGACTTGTCAGAGAGTAGCACTGACTTCATTTTATATAAAATTTCATCTTGTTTTTCCATCTTCGATTCCTTACTGTTGTCCGAGTTACTCGTCTCTGCTTGTTATTTGCGCTTGTTACCCAGTGTCATGTTGCTGCATCTTTCAAATGATTTTCCATTTTGGTTTTGGCATCGCTTATTTTCCTCCTCAATTTTCTATCGGTCTCTTTTCAGAAGTTTCCACTGCTTCGTCCGTTTTTCGTGTTTTTTGTTCACCTCCGATTCTTCCTGCGAGCCGCTTTCATACACCAATGGTTGCGTCAACTGAAGAGGTTTCTAAGCAGCTGATAGTTTCCGAAGATATGAAATACGTACTTCTACAACTCTTCGCTGTGATTGATAGATACGATTTCACTGCTGCTTTGGTTACTGTTTTTCTGTGGTTGGCAGGTGAGAATGTTGGTTTTTTAGACATCCTCGTTTTATCGTTATCACCGTCAGTATACGGCCACGATCTGAGAGTTTCGAGTCTGCCGAGTCTGATCTGTCATCTTGTGTTTCCTGTGAACGGTTACGTTTTTTCGAAGCTGGCTTCGACGAACATCACTTTTTTATCAAGCCCTTATGAGTGCTTGATTTTGATGTTTTCGCTGGTGTTCTCTTTGTACGCTTTGGGACCATTTTTCTTGATTCCTGTTAGTCAAAGGTGAGCTTTTTTGCAACTGGCACATTTTCAGCAGGTTCCCAGGAGTGATCAATCTTACTGATCCCTTTCCAGCGCACCAAGTGGAACAATCCCTCATCTGTGTTCTCATGACTGATAGCTCTTTCTACTTCGTAAAGCTTGAAACAAATGTTTCCATTCTGGAGAAGCTCTCCCATGCTATTTTATAAATGGACTGAGTCGTTTGTTATATATCTGTTGAGCTTGCATCGCTATCTGACTCAGTATTGCCAGCGATTCGCAGGCGTACATGTTTTCACTGGAAGCCATTAATGACTACTCGATTAAAACTTCGGTAATTAAATCAAAATAGCGAAACAAAGATAGGCTGGTCAAGAAATAAGAAGAACAGATGACAAATAAACGAAAAAGACGACAGAGTGGAGTCCAAAAGAATGCAACCGTTCTCTTGCAAGACCACCCTACCAATAGACGGACGTGTTCTTTTCTAGCGTCAACATCTGCACTCGCAGATGACAACGATTTCAGGAATACAGAGTGGGTCTTGTGGACGTCATCATGTTCGGATCGGACCACCACCATAGGCGACGATTGTGCGAGAGGGAAACAAATGGAAATTATTTCTGAACCCACACAACAAATGACTGCGGGCCATCCAAGCAGCCAAGTAAGTAAGTAATAGATAACATGTAAATAATACATTTTTTATGTTTGTTATGACAGTATTGCTGAACGCTTTTTTTTTGAGAGGGGAAGATTTCCTCAGCAATTATTCTTCGTAGGGAATTTTATGAGATTTTTTTTTAAACGAAAACTGGCTGACATTAATCACGTCAGAGTTTCTCGGAGGGAAAAAGAGAATTTGGTCGTAAATAAATCGCATATTATTAAATTACACTTTTCCGCACTACCGGAAAGTTTTTGAGAAGATACGGCGTAGGATTTTGTTTGACGCTGAAAAATGTGGACACATGAGTTGGCTATGTTTCTCAGTGGTGTAGAATGACAGACATTAGCTTTTTACTTTGTTAGATATTTTCATATATCTTTCACAAAGCTCGAGATCGACTTATTATCTATTTGATGAGCTGAATCCATCAATTTTACGTTCTATTTGATGAAAATTTAGTCAATATATTGTGTATTTGGACGCGTGTAGCGCAGTGATCGAGGCTCCCTGTAATATACATGGGATCGAGCCCAGCACCCTAAGCTCACCAAACTTCTATTCCTCCGGGATCGGCAAATAGCTATCAGGGTGGTCTGGGAGGATAGCAGCACTGACTGGACACATCGCTAGGCCACCGCTAGTCACTCTAAAGGCCAGGTATGCATTCAATCGCGTCTAAAGATGCTTAATTAAGTCAAATGCATGGTGCACCCCTCAGAGTTTGATCAACACATGAGAGCTTTGTTTTTTAATGTGTATTTGATGACATTGTGTTTGCTTTTGTTCAGGATACGCTCATAAGTCTTTGTAAAACTATTTAGTAATTCGCTTTAATCTGAGCAACTGTTCCGTTTGCACTCACGAAAAATGTCGAACTCAACGACGATATTGATCTTGATTTCGTCAAGAGAACGTAACTCAGTCACTCTTACATCGAAGTTCTATGGAATTTCGGTACAAATATTATGTATGATTAACGAAGTGAATAAGGATACTTGTCTTTGTCCTTTTTCTGTCATCGTCCTTTCCAACAAATTTTTTTTTGTAGCATAGATTTATAGTGATAGAAATATAGTGCGAACAGTTAGTAGTCATAGTTGTTAGCTCGATTGACTGCTCGTCTTGTGTGAATATGCCACACGGAACTTTTCATGTAGTATCAGAGAACACGATTTCAAGCTTGTGTTATTATCGTTTATATAAAACAACAGCAGTGCAGTATTAACGGTGTGACGTTATACAGAACGGTGAAGGATACAAGAGTCGGTACCATGAATGAGACTGAGCTGGTAGGGAGCGCTCTTTGGAGAACTCTGGAGAGAACTGTGGGTAGAAGTTCCCTAAGAGTTGACGGAGCAGCTTATACAAAAAGCAGATTGGATCGGTAGATGCTGAGGAATACCTACAGCTGACAGTTGCTTTTTCAGTGCTCGAACTGTCGGACACGGGAGAATAGCTACAAAAAAGAAGTCACAGGTTTTCTCTCCAGTCATCTGCATGGCAGGTGCATGACAACAATTTGAACAATGTGCGAAGACAGATTTAGAATTATTTTCAGCAAATATAGTTACTGTAAGAAGCATACGATGGTATAGAAAATAGGAACTGTTCGGTAGATAATTATTATATTTTTTCTTCTCACGAAATTAACCAAACCAAATTCCCTGCCATAGTCGAGTGTTCATTAACACGTTCAGCACTACTGGAGTTATCTTTCGAGGAATTTCTGGAGTTTCTTAAACATGTCCTAGAGAGATCACTTTAATTTTGACAATCTATGCATCCGTATGAAAGGACCTCTTTCACTGTTCCTCTTATTCTTTTTTTACCCTTAAATATTGAAAAGGTAATAACTGCAGCCTCAGCTTAACCAGGTTCGTTGCCGATTTGTGGTCCCCAGATCAATCCCGCTGATGGGTGATTGCTAATGGCAAAAGATCAATAGAACTAGCTGAGAGACAAGCGAAACGAAGGACCCGCATGGTGTGGTGGTGAACACGTTACATCCCGGAAAGGACAATAGCGCGTTCGTTCCCCACCGCAGACACCTGCGGTCCAGATTTCTGCAAATATCTCAGCATCGTTGAAGTTATATTTCCCAATATACCCTTCCGTTAAAAAGAGTAGGCAGTAAAGAATAAGTTAAAATTGAAAAGGTTGTATTTGAATCGAATCGATTTATCCATCACCTCATCAGTTAGTTGCTACCGTATTTCTTTTCCATCTTTTTATATAACAAAATGGTTATTACTAATTTTTTCCTGTTAAACTATTCAAATGAGCACATGGTGTCATGCATATCACCTGTGATTTCGTTAGTTATAAGTGGTTCAAATTTACAACAATGAAATCTTTATTCTGTCACTGGTTAGAGTAAAGTATTGGCACTCGCCTCACATGAGAAATGTGAAAACCTCCACACTTTTACCTGAAGTTTTTTTTACTGTTTTGCTCTTCTTGGCCAGTTACTACCTACGGGGCTCTTCGAGCTTAACCGTGGTGGTATTAGTTTACTTTCAGGTGGATTTTGTTACGGAGAAGTGTCAGCATGCATGGCAGTTTAGGGAAGGAGAAAACCCTCTGTAGTGTATTAAAATTCTACATCTAAGCACATCACCTCCTGCCACTCGGAGACGATAGACGATTAACGAGGAGCATAGAATATATGATGGTATGCGTAGCGCAGTGATCGAAGGTGTCCTGCAGTATACACATGATCGTTGGTTCGATCCTAAGCAAGCCCACCTCAACCCCTCCGGCGTCGGCAAACTGATTCCATAGTGGTGTGGGGGGATCGAAAAAGCTAACACGACACATTGGTGGACTCTTGCAAGTCATTGTTGAGGCGTAGCTTGCACCTCTACTATGCAACGAATGTGCTCGAATGCACGGTGCATGGCTAAGAGATTGACAAACGCCAAACACATTTTATCGCTTTCGCTTCTTAAATAGTGTATACTAAAGTCCCGTAGTAGCATCATCAAGAAAATTCCCAGCAATGGGCGCAATGTTGAATAGATTTAGGAGGTCTTATGTCCTTTACAATTCACTATTCCGATGTATGCCGTGGTTTACAGTGGTTGTAAAAAGTCGATATTATTGAGATTTTTCATTGTGTAGATACATCGTGCAATGATCTAATAGTACTCAAGGAATTTGTTCGCAAGCGCTTTTGAAAATGTTCGATGACGATGATAGTGTTGGTAAGTGAAGTTGAGAAAGTGTAACATAGCGACTGCTGGCTGCACCCTCGCAAATCTCAATCCCTTTAACTGATTGCAGAGCTGACAGATTGAATTATGAATATTGTTTGATGAGTTTTTTTCACGTTTTACTAGATAAGGGGAACTTTTTATCTTTAGAAAAACGACTGATTTTCGTCACATTCCATCATTATGGTCGTACTCGTTTCTCGTTCATCAGTTTACTTTTCACTGTTTTAATTGCTACGGTAGTTTCCTTGCGTTTTCAATGTTCCCGGATTTGATTTCGGGTGAAGAGACCGTAACGAAAGCAAGGGAGAGCTGTGTAATTATATGGTGAAATCGACTTTGGATAGAATTTTGAAGGAACGAAACGTTTTCAAAGAGAAAAAAAAAACGGCCTCTGGGCTTTTGATAAGCTGTTATGAAGCTGTTAGTACAGCCTTTACTCTAATTACTATCTTCTCATCAGATGGTTCTGATCCTTTTGAGGCTATATGGATTCATATTATTAATAATAACACTATGTAAAGTGTTCGGCAAAATATCTTTATAGCCCTGGCGGAGAGGAAGACTTCAAAATTGAGTGTGTCAGTCGTATTACAATATGTTTTTCTTCGGGAGAGAAATAAGTTTGTACATTGTTTCATTTCATCTGCGGTGAGATACATCTCTGTTTTTCAATTTTAGCTTTCAGAATATTCAGCACAGATGTCCTTCGTTTTTTCCGTGTTTACTTTTTCATGCTTTAAGCGGCATCATATGTCGCCGGCAATTCCATTCGTGCTTTAGAGATGGTTTTTGTTCGTGTTCGAAGACACCATTTGCACATCATCTGTTCTCTGGAAATGTGTTTAGTCGAGGCGCTCTTAGGAAGACTGTCATTCTCATATCACATTTTCGTGACGCGCTGCGTTTGCATTTGTTCTCTGTCTATCGTCTGCATTCACGGCTTTTCACTCATCAGTTTTCTTCGGATACCTGAAGCACCTCAAGTGTTGGCAGTGACAGCGATACAGTCGGAGAATTTCTAAAATACTGAGTGGCAACGAAGTTTAATACCATATCACTTTAGCTAGATACGATTAAGTTTGATACTAATACGTATATCACCACAAAGCACCTTTCTAACACGTCCTTTCTTTTCTCTTGATGGAGCATAGGAATTAAGGCCTGAATTCTTCAGTTATGCCTTTCTATTCAATGGAGAATAGGATCCTGTGCGTACAAGGCCTTGACTTCGTCGTCGTATTCGCTTACCAGTAAGGGATTGAATTGAAGAGTCTAAAGGAGTTCGTGAAATGATGATTTTGCTCATTAATTGCGAAAGGGTGTGATTGTGTAACCTCACCGGATGTAGTCCAACGAGTATCTGAATCGACAACGATTTGCGCGTGGCATGTCAGCTGTCTTCGTCGATCCGCATACTTTTAATGTAATATTTTATTCGTTCGATCGTATTTCGATCTTTTTCTCGAGCACACATGCATTTTTATTGGAACACATGCCATTTTTACTAGGATCTATGATAATGTCGGCGAAAAATTATGAACAGTGATCACAAAAATCTATACGGCTATCTGGTTAGTGCATTTCGAATATAATGTCTTCAACGAAACCACAACGAATTTTTTTTTCCGGGGCTTTATATTCTTTTCAGATGCATCATTCCATGGCTGGTAGCGGTTTGGTCCTGTTCTCTTTTCCAGTTTTTATTTTTCATCTAAATTCTACTCGTAACATTTGAACACATTTAGAAAGGAGACTTATTTATTTAAAAAGAATATCTGATTTTGGTCACGGTAACAAATTCACTCTTCTTGAGTTATTAACTTGATAGAATTTTATTTTTGTTATTTTTATTATTGTCACTGATTGTCAATAAAAACCTCCTAACGGTTTACCGCCTGATCGTGACTTGATGTGTTCCTGAGTGTCGGGCTGCGATGTACAGCCGGTGGATTCATCCCTCTTGTTGAGTCTCCCGAGCTGAGAAGGAGTCAAGCGTATCCATCAGGAAGCCTAGCTAAGAGTAAACCAATACCAGGATCCACCACTGTCCTAGTAACAAAATTGCATGGTATCCCTTTGATCCAAAAGGTCTGCAACTGCCTGTGGTGGTGAAGACCTGGGGCATACTTTAGCGAGACTGACCTTGGGATTCAAGGGAACTACAATGGCTAAACCAGCAAATCTCCGAAAAAAGGGAGAATTATGCTGGGATCTGCACAATTAGTGAGGATGTCCCATCCATGCAGGTATAAAAGTATCAATGAAAACTTCTTGTAAGTGGTATTTCTGAAGGACTGCTTCTTTCTGTGATATCCTATTACCTCTCTTTTTTCTATCACAATGACTTCTCTTATTTCAATCCTCGATATTATCATTATCCTTATCATTATTAATGATTATAAACAAGGATTATTTGAAATGATATTTCTGAAGAAATGCTTCCATCTCTTTTGCCCTATTATCTCTCTCCTCTTATAACAACCTTGGCTAACTGTATGCATTCATAATACAGTAGTTTTTAAACCATTATCCTAACGGCTCTCTACTTCTGAGTTATTAATCTAGAGCACTTTAAATATGACATAAACTCTGCTATACGAACTATCTCTCAGTGTTATTAAAAGTTCGCATAGTTTCCACTTTATCACAAGCCGTGAGTTGTTTTCGTTACCTTTTAATCATTCAACTTTTATCTTGGGAGATTTTTTATCAACTTTAACAAGGCTTAGTTTACAACTCAGTAGAACGCTGCTTTAGTTTATTTTGTTACTTATACCACTCAATTTAAATCCTTTAATGCTTACTTGAATGCTTTCATTGAGCGTCTTTACAAGATCTTACAGTCCCCTTAAAATTACCATTGAGCTGATAATATAATCGCTGGTAAAACTTTACTTTCCTAAGATTGCTGTTCTAAGAGGTCATTCACCACCAGAATCGGCAGATTTCATGGTACAACGAGAGATTTTCCACCTTTTGATTACAGTGGTACCGGAAGGACAGTCATCTATCGTTGATGTACTCTTGTTTGCGCTTCTGAATTGAAATGTTGAAATTTTTTTAACTTGAGTACTCTTGTTGGAAGAATGATACCCCCTCGTCATTTTACGTGATATTTTGACACAAAGAAACACTTCTCAGTGACAAGCCATTCAATCCCAGGCGACTCAACCATAAGGCAACAAACCATTCAATCGAAGGCGATTAAACTGCTAAGATTTTCGTGAGTTGTACTTGTGTTTTGCAGACATTTCTTTTTCTCTTTCTTTTTCTTTTTTTTTTTTGAAAAGCAAGGGTTGGGGAGTTGGACTCCATAGGGGCGTGCCTGCCGATTGACTGTGTGGTTCATAGGAAAACGCTATTAATCTTTGAACTAAGTGTTTATTGGTAAATCTCTTGAATAGCTATTTTAAATGATAAGATGAAGTTTTGAAAGGACATAGCTTCGAATGTTCTTTTACGATTGTAAATCTGAATGTCGTTGTCGCCGAATTCTTGCTAGGTTTCTCATTCAGAAGTACGAACACTTTTTTTATGGTAGTTTTTTTTCTATTTTTCCGTATTAGCTCGTATGAACCTAATGACACCATCGAACACCCAGAAATACTAATCAAATCCTCACTACATGTGATATGTCTTCCCTTTTTGAGTACCAAGAAGGTAGTTTTCTCATGAAACGGTGTTTTGCTTAATAGATGAATATTGGTGGCATAGCAACTAACAGTAAGAATTACCCTATATTTTTGCGTTTCTCTTTCTTATTTTCGCTAGAGGATCGTTTTTGCTTCTCAATTGATGAAAAGGGTCAGTTAGCAGCGCAATATGAAAGGATACTTCATTATGTAATATGAGAAAGTCGAAAGGGATTTTTCGTATCGTAATTGTTTCTCTTCGACTTTAAAGCGAGAGTTATTTTCAGTATAACTGACTTTTCCAGACTTTTGCTTATCTCTAGGAAGTGGGAAATGCCGTAATTATTTACTACTTCTTTGATTTTCCAGTATACCAGTGATAATATTGAAATAGTAGAGTATATAGAGCGGGATCATATACTAATTAATGTTTCATTTCGACACTATCACTTAGAAATCAATGACAAGTTAACGATTACTCAGTTTCTTTTTTCTTGTAGTTTTTTTTTATCTGAAATGAAACTGACCTACTCATTCCATAAACCCTGCGGAAGTGCTTAAAATTGGCTTATTAGTAGGTTTATCTACATTTATAAAGTTGTCGACGTTCAAAAATTTTTCGTGGCATTTGTTTACCACATTCCATATTTCTTACTGTTTTGCTTTTTACGCGAAAGTTTTTGCATGTTTAGCCAACTCACGCAGGGTTGTCAACCTTCACCAAGTCGGCGCCATTACGCGTAAGACAAATAATGTACTTGTGCTTTGAAGTCTTTATAATTCTTGTGTAGTCGGTTGTTTTTCTTTCGATCAAACAATCTTCCTTCTTTTGATTTCTAATGTTCTCTCTTTCTCTCTCTGCAATTCATTTGAATTCTGATCATTTGAGTATTATTTGTGGTAGTGAGGTTAATCCGTCGATTTCTTCATGTCGTTAAATTTCGCAAGAAAACTGGTCTGTGAACGAACAGAACGTGCTCACATCATTATCACATAACTGAAATCGTTCCAACACCAACACACACGCACGCCCACGCACACCCACACACATCACATATATATATATATGTACATTTACTATAGACTGAATCGTCAACCGAACATTGTGTCATGTACTCAATACATTCTCATCGTTCATTGATTTCAATCGTTTTCACCGAATTTGTTCTTCCACTCACCACATATCCATCCATACTTCACCTACTACTACTCGTTCACTCACTCACTCACTCACTCACTCACTCATTCACTCCCTCATTCCCTCACTAGCCACGAGTGAAAATTGTTTGCAATAGTAATCAATGAAGCCCTGAAGCAATGGCCTAGTCGTACCCATACCAGCGGCATCAGCCAGTGTGGTGAGCCTGTTGGACGGCGACCATGCGGCGTAGCTACAGTACTTTCACCGAGAACGGTAGGCATCGTAATACGATTTAGCCGGTGATTGTGTATACAATTTCAGTGGGCGAGAATCTAACGAGTATAATGTGCCGTATGTCATCTATCTATCTGTTTACTATTTTGCGTCTTGTTGTTTTGTTCTGTCTATTTGTTAGATAGATTTTACGTTTTTTTCTGGGCATCTGTATTTACGATATGATTGATATCATGTATTACAGAAATGTCGGGTGGTCCGCCGGATCTTCTAAGTGTTCCTGGTAAACGAGCCACGTTCACATCTGGTAGCGAAGAAGAGGTTCGCCTTGGATCTCGTGTCACATTCAATGATCAGTCGGTTAACATTGAAGGAGTCGAATTTCAACTGAATGAGGTGACTTCTATATCTCTCTTATCTCGTTACTGTTTAGTAATGTAAACATGTGCATTGATCCCTATATTTTTCTTCCACTTGTTATGCGTCCATGGAATTGAAAAGGCGATTTATGTCCGATATCAGCTGTGTCACTTATAATTCCATTAATTGTAAAGTGTTTCTAACAAACGCCATTGAGACTTTATTCATCCTTTTCACGCGCCAGAACTACCAAGTAGTCCACCCTTGATCGAAGTGCACGTAGATTGTCGTGGTATTCATCAGATACTATTTATGCTCACGGATTTTTTATTGGAATCTCTTGAAACAGTTGTAAGGCTTATTTCTCACAGGCGATCTTGGACGGCTTCCTTTGAAATACTCAGTCGCATGTGTGCAGGCATTTGATCGAACCATTTTGACGTGCCGACTCAAACCACAAGTGTGAAAGTACACCCACGCACGTTCGCATGAATATGGTGACGTGTTTAGGGAAAGACTAAGCGAAGTTCGATAGTTCAAATACAGTGAGCGTATCTCCTAATTCCGCTTGCGTATCAAGGCAGGCAAACATGTTCGCTGTCAGTCCGCAATATAAACCGAAATCCGCTGCCACGTGGGGATGCACTGCGTGGGCTCCCGACTAAGCGGGACACACTGAGAGAATCCATGGATCATTTTCGATACAATGTGCCTTAACGGATAAAGTGTTTTGATGTTGAATTGAACGTTATCAATATCATCTACGACGTCGTCTACATGTTAAACTTGACGTCGCTGTTTGACATTCTTCTCGTTGACCGTATGTAGGCGACTATCTCAATTCTACGAATTGTTTTAAATTTATTTTACTTCTGTGACCTTATTTCACGGGTTATATGGGTCGTAACACTTTTCCCATTCGGTCCGCTGTTTTGCATCCGTCATCAACGGAAGTTTTCGGATCTGCATATGGTCATGCCACTTGAGGGCTCCATCCCTCTTTTTTGATTCATAGAGAGCTGTTTCGAGAAAATTATGGCATCCATCTGCCGATTATGGAGGGATAGGAGTCCTGATTGACGCCGGGTATGGTCGAGTTACGGAACTAGTTGCAAGTGGAACGGTTCGTATTAACGTTTTTTTTTATATGGCTCATATTTCGCATCTATTCTACCGATCCCAGACTTCTCACATTCGATTCGTTTCCTCGCATCCATCATTCACGAAAGTTTTCCAACTTTTAAGCCTGACTTCGGCTCCTACTTGAGGATTTTCATTTCAACTTGAATGTCGTAGAATGTTGGCCGAGTTGATTCTCCCTGGAGTCCTGAGATAGTCGGGTTAGAGCGTTCACACTCGGATTGCAGAGAATGATTTTTTTTCCGGAAAAGTTCGCTACTAATTTCCCGACATTGAAGAGATGAGAAGTTTGATGAGCCCTTAGCGGAATCGAACCACTCATTTTAACGTTGGTGGACGAAGTTCAAGGCTTAGCATCAACTTAGTTATATCATATATCAAAAGAGCCGGTTAGTATTTTATGCTTATTTTGCACTCGTAATAGATAATATTGATGCATGTTGAATATTCAATACAATTATATTTCACTCTTATGCAAAATTACAACATAAAAATATGCATAAAAAAAATAAAAATGATTTTTGATGCAAAGCCGATGCATTGCATGCCATGATTTCCTTCACGCCTTTGCTTTGTTGACCCAAGAGACCATTTTGTCCAATAGCAACCATGGTGATCACGTGAATAATAAAGCAAATAGAAGTACAAGATGGTCTATTTAAACCGCTCGCACTCTTATCTGCTGTGTGGTTTCTGATTACTCGTAAACGAGTTGTCGATGTCTCAACAAAAATCTTCTGTAAGTTCTAACGAATCAGTTCGCTTCGCTTCACCTTATTTTATCCGATTTTAATTTTCGCTTTGTAAGAAGTATTGGGAACGAAATGTGGAACGAAGTAATTTACCATTTCTGCTATCTGGTTCCTGAATATTGACAGTCAATGATCTTATATTCATGTTTTCTTCTAAAGCTTTTGAAACTTGCAATATTAACTGGTTTACATATGATTACTTCAATTTTAGTGAATCAAGTGTGACGAACTGCACTTTTTTTCTTAGGCTAACAATCACGCAGTCACGTTTCGTGATGACGAACACAGTCAGAAGCGCGAACAATGGGACAATAAGGTTGGCATAATTATGTTCATAATATTTTAATAAATAAATGATTAGATAAATATTATGCTTTTCAGACACAGTTCTACATGGGAGTTATTAGCTATGCTGTTGGTCTTGGAAACGTATGGCGGTTTCCGTACTTGTGTCAAAAGAATGGTGGCGGTAAGTCCATCTAATCCTTCTTTTAATCCTTCGGTGCTCATATCGAGGGTACATCATTGACGTTTATTTAAGAAATGGCTTAGGCATTAAATTTCAGGAGCATTTCTACTTCCTTATGTCATTATGATGATACTTCTTGGTTTGCCACTATTTCTAATAGAACTGGGTATTGGCCAACGATTACGGACGGGTCCAATGGGCGTTTGGAACGCAATTCATCCTTATCTGGGAGGTTTGAAAGTTATATTATATTATTTTTGTTTTATACTCTACTGGCAAGATTTTCTATCTTTGGACCCTCAACTCTGGCGACGCTTAAACTTTCTTAAGTCATCGCAACAAGCACTTGATTGCCAATCTAGAATCTAATAGGTTCTATGGGGATTAATGACCGATTCAAACCCTTATATTTGAAGTGCATATATTAGCTAAGAATAAACCTTATCAATGAAAATAAAAATTTTTAGAATTTATACATTTTTAGCTAACGAGAAATAAGTTTGTTTATAGCAGTGGGCTGAAATTCTGGACTTGTAGAGACGATGAAGTCGTTGAAAGCGGTTTCGGCCTCTGCTTGATTTCTGAAGCGTTTCTCGAATAGGAAGTTGTCAAGATGCTTGAGGAAGTGATAGTATAGCCAGAGGTCTGCCGAATAGGGTGGATGATGGAGATCTTCATAGCTCAGCACGTTCAACCTTTGCGGAGTGAATAGTGCGACACGTGACTGGACATTGTCGTGAAGAAGGATGGTGCACAGCCGTTGAGGTTTGTGATGTATTTCGTCGATTTGCTGGACGTACTTCTCCGCTGCCTCAAAGCTTCATTATGGTCTAAGCACTGAGATGTTCGTTGCCAGTTATCATAGAGGATCTGCTTTTCGTCGCACGTCTCAATGTAGTCGATGCTCTTTTTATTGGGCAGAAGAAGAGCCAACGATTCCTTAAAACGGCGATTGCTTTGGTTGTATTCCAATTCATGCAGTAGCCATTTGTCGGAATACTATGACTTTCCAACTTTTTTAGATCCTTCGGAAAGAGTTTAGATGAACTGGAGAATGCAGTGAGTGTTGCAACTTCTCAAACAGTTGTACGTGTATTATTTCCTCACAAGGAATCTTGTAGTAGAAGTACGTCCGCGACCTTCCTCGTCATTAATGCCGAATTCATCACGCCGATGTTTTCCCATATCAACGTTGCACTGTGCCTTCGTCAACGCTTCTTTGGCCCCATATGCCACCATTGTTTCGGGCCGTTTCGGTTGCAACACGACCACGTTTGAATCCGTGGAAGTACATTTGTCAAATTTGTTGTTTTGATGGCTTAAATTCTAGCCTTTATAATTTGTCAAAGGCAGAATCCTCATTATGATTCAACCACAAGAGCAAAAGTGCATAAAATTGGATTTGCAGTAATATACATTGGTTCACCATTCGGAAGAAACCTTTGATAAAACATGTCACCTGTCACCTGTCGCCCCATTGACCGTCGAGTGACTCGAGATGGCGCCATCAAATTTTCCATGTCTCCATGTCGCATGAAAGAGTAGCTCATTTGGTTCGGCCTGCTCTAGGGGATCGTTGACTTCCATATCTTTTGGGTTTTTTTTGAAAAACTCTAACCATCTAGTCGGTGTTCTTCTTGCTGTGCGCTTGACATCCCTAGATATACAGTCACTATTTCTTCTTGTCCATCGGTTGTTGTTTAGATGCATTGCGTGTGCGGCCAACCTTATTTTCGACAATTTGGCGTAAGGAAAGAGTATAGAGGGATAAAACATCCCAAAAAAATTGCAAATCGTCTGTTAATTTCCGGGCAACCAAGTGTAATAATAGGTCGCGGGGTATTAGCACCTGCATTCGCCAGCAGCTTGAGTCGTCTGGAAACTGCATCATCCGATTTCATCAAAAATTCCTGTTTGGTAGAAAGCTTGAATTCTCGCATTCGAGCTTCAAATTTACTTAAAAATCCTTTCATCACTCCACAGAATCTTAACTCTTTTATTTACTGCCTTTTTCTTCTTAATGGCAGGGTATGTTGTGAAATATAACTCGTATGAAGTGCTGAGATATCTGCAAAACTCCGGACCACAGGTGTATGCAGTGGGGAACGAACACACGCTGTTGTCCTTACCGGGGAGCAGCGCGTGTTCGTTCTCCACTGCATACACCTGTGGTCCGGAGTTTTGCAGATATCTCAGCACTACATACGAGTTATACTCCACAGAATGTTTTTAAAGAGATGGGAACAACCTTTAGAACAAATAAATAAATTATAAAATTAAATGAAATCAAATAAATTGTAAATATTTTAAAATAGGAAATTGCCATTCATTCACCCTTTGGATGACCACCTGTCATATCTTCTTTTTTTCCTCGTTTTTGCTCAGTTTTGTACATGTTGTGTTACCTCAATAAAAAGCTTTTTGTCGTGTTGTCGTTAAATTTAATACAAAAGCATCAAAACGTTCTTGTCTCAAATCACTTGCCTCCATCACGAAGAAGTTTATGGCGGTTTGTACACTTTTATTACCCGATAGCGTGCTATATCAGTAGAATAGAAAGTAAAGAAGCGAATGTCACTGGCTTGCTATTTTGACACTATTCACGTAATGTTAACTTTTTTTTTACTGCCTTAATGTAATGACTAGGCAATAAATAAAAAGTTAACAGTGTGATTGCGAATATAGCCTCAATTTACCTGGGTACAATGCTGATTTGGGCTCTCCAGTTCAATCCCGTTGACGGGTGATTGCTGATGGCACTGGTCGATAGAACTAGCTGAGAGACAGGCGAAACGAAGAACAAGCATAATCGTGGTGAGCGCGTTAGCCTCCGGAAAGGGTAATAGCGGATTTGTTCCCTATTGCAGCCATCTACGGTCTGGAGTTTTGCAAATATCTGAGCACAATTGTGGTTGTATCACACACTATTCACGTAGCCATAAGTTTTTTTAAACCACTTTTGGAATACCTTTAAAAACAAACGAAGGATAGATGAATAAATATTTGCATAGTAAACAATTGTGATAGTGAAATAGTCATCTCTCACCGATGCTGACGATTAGGAAGGGATCAAGTATGATCGCTCAGTACACCGTGCACTTTTAGGTCTTGGCGTATCAGCGGCTGTTGTTTCGTACTTGGTTGCACTCTACTATAATGTCATCATTACGTGGTGCTTGTACTACTTAAAGGAGTCATTTGCCCTCAATCTTCCGTGGGGTGTAAGTGCACTACGTTTTTTTTCTTTCCTTATCGAAAGTGCAATTGTTTTTTTTTCGTTTTGTTTACTTAATAATCATTGGTGACGTTCATTAACTGGTTTCGAAATATTTTAAGGATAAGTTTGTTTCACCAAATGTTTTAAACAAGTTGGCTATCTAATTTAACTCAGTAATCTAAGTTTATAAGCTTCTACTTTACTTCTTTATTCCATTTCCCTTTTAACAATAGTCTTTCTAATTATTAATGTATATCTCTATTAAATTGTGATAATTTCTATCAAGTAATCACAGGTTGATTAATTGTATCAGAATAATACTCTACTTGGAAATGTTACACGAGTAACAACGCTATTCAATGACATAATTAAACACCTTAATAGTTATAGCTAAAGGAGAACATTAGCTATGTCGAGCAAAATCGGATAGGAATAGAACGACGTTATTAGGTTTAAATTTAGTTTTTGATGAAGTAGGTGTTCATTCTATACGTGTGATCCAAAGAAAAAAACTAGAAGCAAAAGAACAGAAGCACTGCATTTTATTTCCTTCCAAACTGAGACGGTTTGATTTCGGGACTTCCATCACATCGAATTTGATTTCTTATTCAACACTAATTACGATGTAATTGTAATATGAAACAGGTTTTCATTTCTTCTTTGTCTTTTATTCTGCGGCTTTGATGAAAAAGATTTTCTTCGAGGAAATAGCGCATGTCTTCATCATTATGGACTAAACGGCGCCGTCCTAAGTACTCAATCAATGAGTGAATTTGAAAGGAGTAGAGTGTCTGATTATGTCGTCGGTTCAAGTGTGTGCCGTTTCGTGCGCAGCAAAAACCACATGTGAACAATGACTAACGGGCCACAGCTCGAAATGAAAAACAGAAAAACAAAGAAAGAACTAGAGTTATGCAGTGTTGACGAAAACTACTGGAAATCTTCAAAACACGGACCAGTCATGAAATAATCGCATTGGGTTTCACAAGCATAGTCGTTGTAAGAAATCCGACATAACGAATTGACTCCCGTAAGAGGATCCTTGTGATTTTGTCACCAGAAGATGAAAATCACCTTACTGGAGTTACCAACTGATGAGCGTGAGAAATCCGTGGTGAAAAAAAGTGGTTTGCTGAGAACATACTTCTGGATTTTTCGGAGCAGGGATGAAGTGATCCCGTGATTGCATTGAAGTTACGCCGAAAGAATTCTTTTAATCTAGAATTCATTGGATAGAACTGCCTTGGTTATTTACTTGGTTACTTGGATACCACGATGGCCCATCTTCACTGGCTGTTCTGCTCCAGCATAATTTCCGTTTTTGCGGAGTATTGCTGGTCTAGCCACTTTGGTTTCTTGGAGTCACAAGATCAGCCCGGCCGTAGTCTGCTCCAGGTCGTCACAACTACAGATAGTGTTAGCCCTTGCGGAACAAAGGAAGATTTGCACCATGCAACTAGTTTGATACCAGGACGTTAACAGATCGTCGTATTGTTTTACCCTTCGCCGGGTTTCCTGGTGGAAACGCCGGACTCTTTGCCAGCTTTGGAGACCCTGACGGGAGACGAATCCTTTCAATTTGCATCACAGCTCGGTACACGGGAGCACCTCTCAGCCACGATGTGGCGTGAGACGATAAGCTGTTGAGGGGTTGCTTACTTAAGCCGTAAAAATCTGAAACCAGAAGCCATTGGTTATTTAAATAAGTCAATTATATGAATTAGAGAAATATAATGAAAGGAATTTTTTTCGTATTTTTGTTGAGCAAACGCGAGGTGTTATTATTCTTTGTTCACGATTAAGCTGACGTTTCGGCGGATTTCGCCTTCTTCAGAGCCTGGAAAGGTCAAGTTGATAGCAATCTACTCGGCCAGACGCCTCCATAACCAAGCAAAGAAACTCTAAACCAAGATTTCAATCACTTTGAACACATAACTTTGAACACAGCTTGGCACACTCACCGCTTCCTATGAGGTTTCCACTAAGTATGTCACGTAGAGACCAACCGCACAGAAATCACATGGAAGTATTTCTGTGCGGTTGGTCTCTACGTGACATACTTAGTGGAAACCTCATAGGAAGCGGCTCTGAGGAAGGCGAAATCCGCCGAAACGTCAGCTTAATCGTGAACAAAGAATAATAACACCTCGCATTTGCTCAACAAAAATACGAAGAAAATTACTTGATCAATGCCGAGGTTAATAGAGAGTCGGTCGTGGCAGTTACTATAATGAAAGGGTTGTTTTTTCTTCTTTTTTTGAGACGGGAATGGAGGAGACGTTATGAGACTGTCGTTACGGATAAATGTAGTGCATTGGTCTCGACCTATTAATGATTGTTTTTTTTTCGTATAGGTTTGTCCTCAGAATGAAAATGGAACATTGGATAGAGAATGTGCTATGTCATCATCAACTACCATGTATTTCTGGAATCGACAAGCACTCGATACAACAGGGTTCGTCGAATTCTATTTCAGTGTTGTTTTATCATTCATCATCATCGTAAACAGTCTGCTGTATTGATTTTGATATCAAACTTTTCTAACTTTTGGTAATCTTAAAAGTGAGCTTGAAGAGAATCCATATACTGTTGTAATTTTAGGAGCATCGGCGAACTTGACGGTTTTAATCCACATATTACGATTTCACTGATTGTCGCATGGGTTTTGATATATCTTTGTGTGATGAAAGGAATTAAAAGTAGTGGAAAAGTGGGTGAAGTTTTTGTTTCTTCTGTCCGCAAAAATGAATGTGGGTCTTCAGATTAACTGTTGGAAGTCGTAAAATTGAATAGAAGCAACGAAAAATGATTATATGACTTCTGTAAACGCATGAAATCACAAACATAGGAGATTTCGTAAGAGAAGAATTTGATTGTGACTGCCGTAGTTGTTTGGAAGAATGTAGACATTTGGTATTAATAGCGAAAACAACGTGAACAGCTTTGAATCCTCAACTTGATTCCAGAGAATTCCAGTGAAGGCATAGTAAGGTTTTTCTGTTATAAAATTCAATATGGTTTTATGGAATGTTATATCGAAGTTGGAGTTTTTATATGTTTTCTGTTTCACACTCTCTTATTTGATGACGTCTATTTACTCTAAAATTCTTTGCAATCTGTAAAGTGCTCATGCGATCGGTGCTGATCACTCTCTGAGGGATGTGCAGTGCATTCAACTCTATGAGTAGCGAAGAAGAGATGATTGAATGCACATTCGGCCTGTGCAGTGACTTTTGTAGGCTACCGATCTATTATGCCAGTGTTTTTATTCTCCCAGATAAGTCATGAGTCAATTTCGTGAACTTGGGCGATTGGAGGGCTCGATTTTCTGATTGAACAAACGACGATCACATCAACTATGTAGATGTTGGGAATCATGAAATTTTTTTTACAGCATGCGTATTTTGTTGTGTTTAGGTGATGTATGCGACGGCGACTTTCCCATATCTTGTCACAACAATCTTCCTTATTCGTTCGGTCACTCTTGAAGGTGCTATGAGAGGATTGTGGCATATGATTAATCCAGATGTAGTTTTTTGAATTATATTAAGAATTATGTATTACGACATGATATCTGCAGCAGTAGTTCATAAGAAGAAGTCTCAAGATTTCATACTGTTCCATGCTTTCGGTATACGAAAGCCATTTTTGGGTCAGTAATAGACGAATCGTGAACAAAAGAAAAGTGATGTAAAGGGTCTTCTTTGCAGACATTTTTAATTGTTGCATTTTTGTTTTCGTCCATACTTTTGGTTTCAGCAAAGGATGATTTTGAGTTTCATTTGTATTTTCAGCTTCATAAACTTTATAGTCCAACCGTATGGTTGGAAGCTGCAACACAAATCTTCTACAGTATGGGACTTGGATTTGGGGGTAAGTTAAGTTTATTACCGAATTTACTCTCATGATTCGTCTTTAGGTTTTTGTTTTTAACTTCTCAGTAATCTCTGACGCAGCACACAACAGTGCTTTTCACTTATACTTGCTTTTGATGATTTACCAAATTTCATTGACATCATAGTTTTGTTAAAGGAATGATACCGAAAAAAATGACTGTTTGATCAATTTTGGTGGATGAGAAGAACAATGGATATTATCTAGTAGTCGAGGGAGATACATAACTTTACGTTCCAATTAACTGAGTTAAGGGAGTTGATTGTGTTCTTGAGTAGTATTTAATGCTAAGAATTGTATATTACATCAATAAGTCGTTGAATTTTATTGTTCTAAGGTTTTTTTTGTTTTGTGCTGTTTTCATTTATGATATGTTCAAGGTCTGATTGCTTTTGGTTCATACAATCCAGTAAAAAATGACTGTAAAAGGGATGCAAAGTGGTTGGCATTGTGTAATGTGGTCACGTCACTCTATACGGCTCTCGTCATCTTCTGCGTGTTGGGGTATATGGCTCATAACACAATGAACACCTGTATAGAGAAGTAAGTTGAGTTTTCCTTTCAAAAGTGTCGTCAATTTTTGTCATTGTTTTTCGATATAACATTTTCACGACGATGCACATCCTTTTCAATTCATATCATGCGAAAATAATAGTCGTTATGAGTGTAATAGATAATTTGAGCTGCTCTTTGTTGTCTTTTTGCTTTGTTAGGTCAGGTCGCAATATGGAATTCTTGTCTACAAAAACGATAATATCAGTGGCGTTATCAAGTCAGTGGAAGAAATGAATGTGAAAACAAAAAAGTGTGATTTTTGCTAGGAAATCGGTGTATTTATGTTTGACTAGATGGCACTCTTTTTCTTTGCTTTCTTTTTTTTCTGCCCTTTCTTCCTTTTTTTACATTTATATTTGAAGGTTTCTTTAATTTTCAGGGACATGATAATCATGCAATCTGTATTCCCTGAGAAGTTCGCCACTGTTGATGATGTTCGACGCGCGTTCACTATTGAGCAGTATATCAATGTCAGTACTTATTATTATTACTACTTCCATGACAGTTGGTAGCCCTGAGATTTTCAAACCAAGCAATTAACATGATATTCAGATTTTTTGTGCTTAATTAGTGTAACTCGCTAGGAGAAGGCTTTTTCGATGCATCACTCGACTTAATTTATAGCACGTCATGTTGGCATTATATCTCTTATTATTCCTTTTTGATAAGCCTTGTTCTTTTTTCTTTTCTCTAAGTTTTTAAACCAGTGTTTCTTAAAATCGATCGAAGTAGTGTTTATTTTTCATCATTGTCTCGGTTTTGCATATGGATAATTTAGTTAATTGACAAAGGATTCGACGGTGAATTTACGAAGATGTCTGCTCATTCACAAATGTGTGACTACGCTACCATTATTTCTGAGGTTGGTCTATTAAAAGTGGACGGAGAGAAAAAGTATAAGAAATCTCGGCTTCATGCTGGAGTTTCCTGAAAAGAAAACCGATAATTTGGAGTAAAGAACTTATTTGCCATTTCTTCGAAAAAAAAATTCTCTATTTAAGGCTGCTGAAGGTACCGGCTTGGCTTTCGTTGTGTTTACCGAGGCGATTCTGAAGTTTCCATTTCCGCCAGCATGGTCAATCCTGTTCTTTCTCATGCTGCTCTCCCTCGGTCTCGGAAGTATGTTTGGTGAGTTGAATATGTTAGATTTTCAGTTCATGTTCATCTTTTTAGAAACGGCTGAACAACCTTTCAGGTACACTCGAGGGTGTGATTACTTCGTTGAATGACTCACATCTCATCACCGCCTCTAAGCCGGTACTCACTGCAGGACTTTGTACCTCAGCATGTTTAATCGGTTTACTCTTTTCTACTCGGGCTGGCCAGGTTTATCTTTCATTTATTTTATCTCACTTAACATAAGACTGTAGGGGTTTAATTATCTTGAGTGATTTGAAGGTTCACGCAAAATTATATTTCATGTTATGTCATTTCAACTTGAGAGATAGATGAGGTAAGTACCTTTATTCTGTCATTACTTAAGTCACTAAGGCTAATTAAAGGGTTTTGAGTTCTACTAGCATATTTTTGAAACTAAAAAACGCGTACATTTCCTAGTTCGTAGTCTCAGAGAGCTTGCCGATTAATGTAATGCAATGAAATTTTCTTTAAAGTAAAGTACCTGTAATTAAGAGTTAGATCAGAGACGTATCTTCGAGAAAAGGAGGAGAATGTGTGATTAGCAATTTATTTCTGTTTTTTGTTCATTCATCGTCTTTTCTTTTGCATTCATCCGCATAGATCTTAGTGTACATTTCGTTCCTTTAATTATTAACGTAAATGATTAATTTGTTCGTACGTACCGTTCTGGATGAACTGACACGAAGTTATTATGAACACGTATCCTTGAGTATCGATTACTAACATTTCGGTGAGTTCGCTTTCTTTAGAGCCGTTCTCGTTTACTAAGCGATGAGAATACTTGCATGTTGTCCACATAGAATAGTGAAGTAAATGAAAAATAGGAGCGAAATTTCTCTAATTACTGACAAAGAATTTGTCTTATAGTACTGGGTGGCACTATTCGATTCGTTTGCTGGCTCGTATGCACTGATGTGTGTCGCATTTTTTGAAGTGATCGCCGTGGTTTATGTCTACGGATATCGACGGTATGCTGTTTTAGTGAATTCATTGATAAACTATGCTTTATTTCTTTGGCCATCTTACTATGCACTTATTACAGTTTCTCTCGAGATATGGACTTTATGACTGGTTCTACTCCTGGCCAATATTGGTTGATTGCTTGGCGTTTTATTGCACCAATCATCATGGCCGTGTTGTTCACATGCAGTATTGTTCAGTGCTTCTCGAAAGCCACTACGTATTATGCGTACGACCGTGAAACCGTAAGTTTCGTTAAGACTTCTCAGGTTTCACGATTCTGAACGGTGTAACGGAAAGGAGTACGAGAACGAGATCAATTTGTACTTGTTTTTCGTTTTAGCAAACGGTTTTCACTTGTGGTATCTGTTTTATTGATGCTTATAATTTACGGCAAATCAGTTTGATCTTTATGAAATATTTCACAATGAGAATATATTCAGGCGAAGCAACAAGAAACGGAGTATCCAATTTGGGCAATGTTCATCGCTCTCGGTATGGTTCTGCTTGCAATCCTACCCACGTTTGCCGTATGGTTCCTGCGCTACTTCAAGATTTGGAAACTGGAAGCTGATATTCCTGCGGTAACAGTGTTATCAATTTCACTTCAAGTCTTCATTAATTACTTCCGCTCATTTCGATATAAAACGATAGTAAAATGAAATGTTCTTCTGTAGATCCGGCTTTTTTTTGGGTGCAGGTATTAATATCTAGGATAACTTTTTAGGCTTCTAAGTGCTTGGGTGCGACCCAAAGTACCACGTATATGCTGAAAAGCGAGCAGAGTTTCAATCGTATGACAGAATCCAATGTTTCGGTCGCCGAAATGGAGCCAATCAAAACTACCCCGCGCTAGCTGGTCAGCTCCAATGTTGCTTGGCTTCGCACTTGTTTGCCTAAAATTCATCGCCTGACTCCTTGTACATACAATTTTCTACGGTTGTTACAGAAGTTTTCATTATTTTCATCTCTTACAATAGAAGCTTAGTTTTTCGTTGATATGTGAGGGTTCATCTTCATGAACGACGTAACATTGTTTAACAATCGTTTCAGTTATTCTCTAACAATTCCAGAATCATTTTCTAACAATCAGTCTTTGGCTAGAATTAATCTCACATATCGTTTTTCTTTTCCTTTTCTTTTCTTGTTTTCTATCTAATCCTAGTTCTTATCGAAAGACTTAAAGTTTGTTTTCTAACACAACGGGCGCATTTCTGTATTGTCTGCGTATACACACAGGTACTGTTGTAGCATACAATTGGGTAGTGTCCGATCATCCTCACGCGCAATACATTCGAAACCGGTAGAAGTTGTTAGATTATATATCTATTCTTATTATTTTTCCTTTTTCGTATTCTCTCATCACTATTCATTATTTGCATTGCATTAAGATTTTTTTCTATCCACTGCTGCGCTTGCTACGGTCTCCAATGATTGTTGAGATTTCTTTTAAAGCGTTTGGTTCGCTATGGAAATTTATCGTCGCCTTTGGATTATTCGGTAATTTTCGTGTCGTTCCCAGCAATCACCATGGATATGATGAAACACAGGATTCGACGATAGCGCTTGAATTAACGTGTTTTCTGGCAGTGAAATCCTTAATGATTGATTCATTACTGCTCATAGAGATATTTGTGGTGTGTTGTCATCATTCCTTGGCACTTTGTCTCATGTTCTCAATATCTTGGTGAATTTTGTAGGCTTAAAATGAGTCGCAACTATACCAGAACCGTCGTAGGACCGATGGAAACCGTTAAGTAACACCTGCGACGAATGTTGCGTAGCACCAACGTGAATTTCCAGCTTGCGTTTCCATTGAACCCCGGTGGAGCTTGACACTCGGTCGGTTCACCAAACATGAGTCGACGAACAGTGTCGAATCTGCTTTCTCCGAGTGCTCACAATCATTGGTCTTTTCATTAAGATTATTACCATAGATATGCTCAAAACAGAAGACCCTTAGTGGCCTATTGAAAATTGTTCAATACATATGCTTCACGTTAATAAAGATTGAAGAAGTACGTTTATACAATTTTAATGTCGTTTATGTCGTTTTCAAGTCAAACCCATCCAGTCAGACTATCGTTGAAATTTAGTTTCAGATCATTAGCTGCATAAGATTGGAGATCATCGAAGAATTTCATAATACCCTGTAAAAGAAGCGTATAGAACTGATCACACAATCCATGAGATCTCAGAAGTATAGCACGAACATTAAATTAAGGCTGTTATATTGTATTAGCCCAAAATCAAACGAAAAGAAAACAGACCTTAGGAATAAGCGTATCCGTAATCCCGTTAGGAACTCCCATTAAATGCAGTTCGGCTTGTATGATCGAAATGACTTTGGTGTCAGAACCGCTAGAAGTAGTTTAAACTAAGAGGAGATAGCGTACAAAATCATACAAATTCGACGAACCTGGGTGAAATAACTAGCAGAGATGGATGAGTATGCACACGAACAATACCTTCACGAAGAGGAGCAGATGGGTGCGTAACACTTACCATGACCACTGATCGAGTTCCTGATTCGTAAAACTCGACATTATTTTCCGATACCATCAAGATTTTGACAACGGACGTTTCAGTTTTCAATATAGAAATTTCACGAGGAGGCAACCACGTGCAACTAGAAAGGGTCTGCCACACAGTAGGTTTATTTGTATTTTGTACGGCCTTATAGAGTGACGAACTGTCAACTGTGTATTGCAGTTCCGCATCCGGAAACAGTGTAAAGCAGAAATAAGACGATAAACGGTTGAGGTGCGGAGAAATAACAAGACCATGCTGATGAAAGCAATATTTTTGCCAGGATTAACTAATCTAGAAAGAATATCCGGTCTACCCACACTATAATGCTTCTGTTTCGCAATACCCTAAGTGGAATGATAATTCCAGAGCATAAAGAAGTAAAGAGACATTTAGTCAACAAGAAAGGAGTCTACGCAAAAGATTATGAGAAAGGAAGAGTTACGAAAAAATAATGCCAATGTGGAAATGAAAACAGAAAACGATCTAAAGCAGAATACTTCAATTAGTATTAAAGTGGATAATAGAAAAGGTGAACTTTATAAGTTCTAAGTTTCGTACCGTCATTCGGATCTGTGGTAAAACGACATAAATTCACTGCTTCTCTAGCGGAGATTAAGCCCATTAGTCGTGATTTCGTATCATGTCGTATCACTGACGTATTCTGAAAAAAAAGCACTTGGATAATAGTTACAAGGCAGTTTTTCGTTCCCCCCTTAGCAAAATTCAAATCAATATCCTCTGTGACAGCATTATGTCCAAGAATTTAAAAAACATCAAGATTTGAATGGAAAAGTTTTTTTCTTATACATCATTTCAAAACAGTCAAAGATATGCAGAGAATGTGACACACTTCTTTAACCCGAGCTATGAGATGCGTTCCAGATGACTGACTATCCCATTTGCAACGATGGACACCTTCAGGATGAATTAGAATCGCCACCTTAATCATTTTTACATAATGAATAACTTATCATAAAAAAAAGAAAAAAAGAGAGGCAGGGAGAACGAAGGACCCGGATGGTGTGGTGGTGAAGTGCGCTACTCCCCAGTAAGGACAACAGCGCGTTCGTTCCCCACCGCATACACTTGCGGCCCGGAGTTTTGCAAATATCTCAGCATTATATACGAGTTATATTTCGCAACATATCCTGCCATTAAAAAGAAAAAAGGCAGTAAATAAAAGGGTTAAGAATGTCTAGATTGTTAAAACCTAGATGAGAGCCACGACCGACTTTCTATTAACCTCGGCATTGATCAAGTGATTTTCTTCGTATTTTTGTTGAGCAAACGCGAGGTGTTACTATTCTTTGTTCACGATTAAGCTGACGTTTCGGCGGATTTCGCCTTCTTCAGAGCCTGGAAAGGTCAAGTTGTTAGCAGTCCACTCGGCCAGACGCCTCCATAACCAAACAAAGAAACTCCAAACCAAGATTTCAATCACTTTGAACACAGCTTTGCACAATCACCGCTTTCTATGAGGTTTCCACTAAGTATGTCACGTAGAGAGCAACCGCACAGAAATCACGTGGAAATATAATGTGCCTCTCACATCAGAAAAGCAGTTTTATATACTGCCCTATATCACGCGTGATAATGAGGCATTCTTCCCTGC